TTGGAAAGGAAGATGGCAGCATGGAGGAACGTGTGGTACTGAAAGAACAGGGGAAATACACGAACTTGCGAATAGATACTCTTGCTGCGCTGATAACGAAATGAAGCCAAAACTTTCTAAGAAATACCTACTCCGGTGGGAATAAATGAAGGTCGGACATATAAAAACAAATTACTTTAAAAATATTTAATGTAATAATAATATCAGTTCCACAGCTATGGTTCTCAAAAACTAGCAATACCTTCTTTCCTTCTGCTTTATTTAAGCAACAGTATCTAGACTGAAACTTACATTACACATTCTACTGAGAAACCTGATATGGAGCATGGATTAAAATGAACTACACCTTTATCGGAATATGTGTTTGGCTCTTACAAAACTGAGGGTAAACCAATAAAATTACAATAATAAATACATAAAATAATTCAAGCTATTTAACTCAACAGAATACGAAAGAAAAAAAATTATTATAATTATTTTGAGGTACAAAATTATTTCCTACTACTGACTGTGATGCAGAATGAATGGTGTATACATAGCAAATGCGTTACGCAATTAAAATAACTTTACTTCGAAAGGCCAATACTAAACTCTACTGAAACTTTATGCTCGCTATGATAGACTTCTTGGAGCTTTGTGTAACGTTCTGAGGAAACGGAGATGCTGTGCGTGGGTGTTGCAAACCCTGGAGACCGTGGAAGAAGCATTTCCGTTTCCGTTGACTTCCTCCACAGAGAGACATTTCCGCACTTCGCTACTAACGTTTGCGCCTACGGCCAGGCCAAGGCATTCTTGCCGCCAAAGATGCTGTGTCACTTAACAGTCAAAATTGTCGATAAGTTTGTGCGGCGAATTAGACCAAGGTAGGAAGAGGAAGGAGAAAGAAAGGAAGGAAAAGTAAAAGTATTAATAGAGGAAATAAAAAGGATCAGAGATTGAATAAAAATACAAGAAAAATAAAACCAAGAATTAAATGAATCATTTAACATAAACTGCATCGCATGATACACTAGAAACCAGAAATTTGAAACAAAGAGAACGTCAAAGAAACAAGACAAGAAAGGTGACAAGGAGAGAAGACAGCAGAGAAAATAAATACATGTAAATATATGGTGGGAGATGATGGAAGAGAGTTAAGGGAATAAACAAAGGAAATAAAAGGCAAATAAAGAGAAAACGTATATAGAAAGTAAAAGGAAAGCAGGTAAAGGGAGAAACATATTGATAAATGAAAAGAATACACAAGGGAAAAAGAGAGTGAAGAGGAAGGCACAAAAACTTTAATAAAAAGTAAATATTAATTTATAATTACAAAGTCTAAGTAAAAATAAACAAAAAACACAATCAAAACTATTACTAAAACATACGAAATTAATCCATTTAACAGCTACCACTTCCGAGATAAATTCCTTAATCATGCAATTCGTCTACAATAAATAAGTAAATATGATTTTTTTTTTAAATACAAGAAGGAAAAACGAGATAGCGGAGTAAGGTGGGCGATGAAGCAAGGATGTGAGTGGGGTGGAATGTTGTCAGCTTATTTAGCTTGATCGCAGCAGTAAAAGTGGCAATTCCGTGGGGGAAAATGGCGTCATTTCCCCGCCTTGAAACAGCCAGCAACATTCATCCGCGCAGAGAACTAGTTCCTTATATAGGATCGAGCTCATCTCCAAGAAAGCAATTGCATCATTGCGCGTAAAAGTGGAATATATGAACATCGCATTTCGAGTCCCTATTTCATATAGCGGTGAAAGACATTTTCACGATAAATTCGTATGGTACAGGAGAATATCAGTGCAGAAAACAATCTTGCAATTTCTGAACAGCTAAGGCCAACTATTCGCAGTTTTCCAACAATATAAATTATACGTTACCACGAAATAGGGGCATGCACATTTTATTGTCGTAATAAACAGAAAATAGACCTCCCACCTGGAAAAGATATATGTGACTTCTCTTAATATGTGTGGTGTTGGAAACTATGAGAAGTATGGTTCTTACAATTTGTTTGCTATCAAAATTATTTCAGGTTCTTCACTAATTAATATGTAGAGTTGACATGCATCTATGTCAAATGATCTGTAAACCTATGGGTAAAGTATGAAGTCGAATAGTTAGGATAGAATTAAAACAGATCCTGAAGACACAGTAAGTGGTGATACGAAATGGGATAAACTGTGTTAAAAATGTAAATGAAAATGTCTTCCTATACTTAATAATCACACCACAGAGACTTGTGGGACAGCAGAGATAAAGCTTCAAATTCAGATCAAATGTTTACGCACACATTAATGGAGCTTCAGTTACTGTGTTGGATTTAGTTCGTTGTTGTCGTAAGAAACCGAAAGGCGCATTGGAACACTAGGTGACTGCGATCTGCAACTGCTTCGATACGACGAGACTGGAAATAATACAATCTCTCTTGGAGAGCTTCGGATAACGAGATTGTGGAGACATGCCACAAGCAGTCTGTCTGTGAGAAGAGGTCACACACACAAAATGGTTGCAGCAACAAGCGCTGACGACCTGGGAAGAAGCAGGTTACATCCACTTCATTTAAAAAAAGGCCTGGCTCTCCACTTTTGATGTTTCATATTACTCCCCAAGTACAATACTCGTTTGATGACACAGTTCGAATATTTTGTGGAGGCCAAAGACTTTTAACTGCGCAGGAAAACTGGTAGAGTCTACTCCACAAACTTATACATCAGGGGACGGGACATTCCGCTGATAGTTTTATAAGAAGGACGTCGATTACAGAGATGTAAGATGTGAAGTTTTTACGGCGACTGAATGCAATGACGTCTTCCCGAGCTACCTGCCGCGTGAGAATGGAGATAATTCCCAAATGTTTCGGAGATGCCCATGTTTCGTCCTTTATAATCGAGACAGAGACAGACAGACTCCGAAACGTTAGATATTAAAGCCATTCTCATACGACTGATCGTGAAGACTTGCGAGCATAAAACATTTATTTCTAGCCTGCGGCCTATATTATGTAATATAAAAGACTATATTATGCACATTCAAACAGTATAGGTAATATCCAGACATAATACTATATAGAGAACAGGTTGAAATAAGAGCTGCAGCATTAATAAAGGCCTAATATTATCTTATATAGACTGCAATTATTTTAAAATGAGCAGTTTTGAGGAAATTCATAAGCTAGCATCTGAGAACGAAAATAATTTTTTTATAATTTTAATTTTATTGTTGTTAATTATTTATCAATAATATGACTTAAATTAAATTTTTAATTATTAACTCTAACCTTCTGTACGGATGTCTTTGAATTTTGTAGTGACACGTAAGATTATCTTGATATGGAAGGGATATATAACATGCATATGATAAAGAATAAACACAAGTACATTTGGGATTTGATTCTCACGTGAAACAGTTCGTCTGGGTTATAACTCGTACCGACGTTTCGGAGAAATGCACTTCATGTCGCAAAAAATGGAGGAGATAAGGATAATTTAGCAAAATTTCAATTCAAGGACGAAGAAGTAACTGAAAAGATAACATTAAGGTGAATCTAGAAAGACATTGTGAGGATACGAGATGGATGAAACTTATGATAGTACACAATATCTATTTTAAATATTAGTGGTGTAGGAATTTTCAGGTTCTATTACCACGGAGCTAATTAATTAGTTATGGTCATTTAAGAGTTCAATATAAAGCGATATTTATTAAATATAATTTAAATGTAACGCACAGTCCAAATAGGCTCAGCAAGCAATTAAAACGCAATAAAGAGAACACTAATATTGCCAATTCGTGTCTAGTATTTGATCGGGTTATCCAATATATTTCATTTCAGCTTTAATATCACTTTATATTTTAAATTCCAATTTCCCTGTCAACAATAACGCTCGAAAGTAACATTAATTAATTTAACATTACTATATAGCTTCTTCCACTCTTCCTGCAACTACACACCGATGGTTCGACAATCCCAGGAGGTGCACAAGGTCCGTCCATTAGACACAATCCGGAGTTAGTTTAACGCACATTCAATCAGCACAGCCTTGCAGCAAAGTGTAACCACGTGAACTGTTGCGTATAATTCAATAGGTCACTTAGATACACATTGGATTCACTAAATTAATACAAAGGGCATAATGATTACAGATGAAAATGCATATTCAAGCAACAGACAGTAACCTAGGCTAGCTACGTTGCATTTTTTAAGCAAGATCATAAAAGTTACAATAATATAATACAACACTGATAACACAAATTATATGTAATATCACAGTAGTGTTCTATCCAAAATTGCATGGAATGTGCATATTGCCCAAACGTAAAATTGAAGTCACGTTTAACATTTTACAAGACGTTATCATATGCATATATCAATAAAATAATATGACCAACAAATTGGTCTACTAACAAACACGGCCTACGTAACAGATGCATTCTGTCAGTTGTATTAATCAAATGCATCGCCAGCCTCTCACGTCACCCCTTTCAGCTTCAAAATAAAAGGATCAAAACAGAAAGAGCAACGATACGATTACAAACAAACAAACAAAGAATAAATATGGATTACGTTAATGTAAAATATGTCAAAAGCCGGATTTCATATTATTTAATCGTAATAGCTTCGTTTATTTAACAGCGATAAATCGAGTCTTTCAAACAAACATACAATCAATAAATCGCTAAACACACGTTCAGTGAGCTAACACACAACAAATATATCTTTTTTATACAATTAATATGTTTGTGACGTTTCTAAAGCCATTATATGGCACACCCTGTGTCAAAGCTGATAGTTCTTATGAAGTCCGTGTCTCATTTGTCAGAATATTTCCGGAGCAACTCATAACTTATAAAAGAAAAGAAAAGAAAGATATGAAAAGAGAATAACGTAATTTAATGAAAAAT